ATAATATATGTGAGTTTGATATTGCCATTTAATGTTAGCTGGCTGTTTTGCCCATTAGTTGATACACGTTCTTAATTATGTTGATGTTCTTTGTTTTTTGGTATTTTTTAGAAAGGCTGATACTCGTTGTTCCTTTCTATTTGTAGTGGTTCTTTCAGAAGCTCTTGTAAAGCAGGCCTGGTGGTGATGAAATCTCTGAGTGCTTGCTTGTTCACGAAAGATTTTATTTTTCCTTCACTAATGAATCTTAGTTTGGCTGGATGTAAAATTCTGTGTTGAAAGTTCTTTTCTTTAAGGATGTTGAATACTGTCCCCCACTCTCTTCTGGCTTGTAGGGTTTCTGCTGAGAGATCTGCTGTGAGTCTGATGGGCTTCCCTTTATGGGTAACCTGACCTTTCTCTCTGGCTGCCCTCAGTATTTTCTCTTTCATTTCAACCCTGGTGAATCTGGCGATTATGTGCCTTGAGGTTGGTCTTCTTGAGGAATATCTTTGTGGTGTTCTCTGTATTACGTGGAGTTGAATATTGTCCTGCCTTGCTAGGCTGGGAAAGTTTTTCCGAATAATATCCTGAAGCGTATTTTCCAGCTTGGATTGATTCTCTTCGTCACATTCAGGTACACCTATCAAACGTAGATTAGGTCTTTTCACATAGTCCCATATTTCTTGGAGACTTTGCTCGTTCTTTTTTATCCTTTTTTTCTCTAATCTTGTCTTCACATTTTATTTCATGAAGTTGGTCTTCGACCTCTGATATCTTTTCTTCTGCTTGATCAATTCGGCTGTTAAAACTTGTGCATACTTCGCGAAGTTCTCATGTTGTGTTTTTTAGCTCCATTAATTCACTTATATTCTTCTCTAAATTGTGTGTTATTGTTAACATTTTGTCAAACCTTTTTTCAAAGTTCTTAGTTTCTTTGCATTGGGTTAGAACAAGTTCTTTTAATGCCCAGAAGTTTCTTATCATCCACTTTTTAAAGCCTGCTTCTGTTAATGAAACACACTCCTTCTCCATCAGGCCTTGTTCGTTGCTGATGAGGAACTGTGATCCCCTGTAGAGGGAGAGGCATTCAGATTTTGGGTATTCTCAGCCTTTTTAGGCTGGTTTCTTCCCTTCTTTATAGATTTATCCATCTGTGGTCTTTATAATTACCGTCTTTATAGTTGGGTTTCTGAATGGACGTCCAACTTGTTGATTCCCGGCGCTAAAATCTAAGCAACCCACTGCGCTGGCCAAAACAACGGCGTTAAGATTGATGGTGCTTTCCTGACTCTGCACCAAGCACCGCCTCACCAAGGCAGCGGCAAAACCACCTCACCACAAGAGTTGCGCTGGCGACCCCTGGGGCTCCTCCGCTGGGAATCACCTGGTGCGTGAGCAGCAAAAATTGATCTGAAAGTGTGGCGTCCTCTCGTTCTCTGCTCTTTCAGTGGGAGCTACAACCCTGAGCTGCTAGTGATCAGCCATCTTGGATCTCTCTTCCTTGGGGATTTATTTTTAAAAGCAATTATTCGTCTTAAGGAAAAACTTTATAATATATTCTATATTTTAGAATATAGGCACATTGAAAGCAGTTTGTCATCTGAAGCCCAATAGCAAAATTAAAAATGCTTCACAAAAAATTCAGCTAAAACCATATCTAAATTTGCCACTTTGGGAGTCTGTGATAAAGCAGACTATTCTGTTGAAGATCAGTGGTAAAATCATTTATGCTATTGCTGACGTTAAACCAGAAAAAACATCATTCATGCATAATTTGTTTTATACCTTTAGAATGTAATATATCTTTATTTTGCAGTTCAGTTTTAGCTTTGGCACTAGAACAAGGATCTGGTGATTGTGGAGTGTAATGAAGATAGTGCTTTCGCAATTCCTGAGAGAAGTGTTTATGTAAAACTCCCTTGAATGTTTTAGTGCCTGGAACTTAAGGAGTGGCAGTTGATAAAGCATAACTCCTTCATTGTGTCTCTTATGGGAGTCTACACTTACACTTTTTTTTTTTTTGGAAGGGACTCTCACTTTATCATTGCCCAGGCTGGAGTGCGGTGACTTGACCTCAGCTCACTGCAGACTCTGCCTCCCAGGTTCAAGCGATTATCCTGCCTCAGCCTCCCAAGTAGCAGGGATTACAGGCGCCTGCCACCATGCTAATTTTTGTATCTTTAATAGAGGCGGGGTTTCACCATGTTGGCCAGGCTGGTCTTGAACTCCAGACCTCAAGTGATCTGCCTCCTTGGCCTGTCGAAGTGCTGGGATTACAGATGTGAGCCACTGTGTCCGCCTTATACTTATACTTTTTAAGGATTACACAGATGTTTTAAAAGTGTTTGTACAGGCCGAGCATGGTGATTCATGCTTGTAATCCCAGCACTTTGGGAGGCCAAATCGCGCAGATCACCTAGGTTGGGAGTTCGAGACCAGCCTGACCAGCATGAAGAAACCCTATCTCTACTAAAAATACAAAAAAAATTAGCTGGGCGTGGTGGCACATGCCTGTAATTCCAGCTACTCAGAAGGCTGAAGCAGGAGAATCGCTTAAACCCAGGAGACAGAGGTTGTGGTGAGCTGAGATTGTGCCATTGCACTCCAGCCTGGGCAAGAAGAGTAAAACTCTGTCTCAAAAAAAAAAAAAAAAAAAAGAATTTGTATGTTCTGAGAAATATTTTTTAGCTTTTGAAAAGTAAAATTTATGAAAAAGCCTTGTTGTTTACAAATATGTTTACATATATGTTAATTTTAAATGTGGACCTCGATAAGGAAGTTACATTTTGGCGATATCCAGTGATACTAATTTTTCTCTTTAAGAAATATAATTTTACACTTATTTTTTTTCCATGTACAAACACATTTTTATATGAAATTATATAAAATACGGAAAGAGGCACAATGAACGTTGTGGATGCTTACTATTAGAGAGTAAGGGAGTGATCAGAAAGCAGCATGAAGCTTCTCAGATGCTTTTTTTCTGCTGAATTTGAATCCTGGCTCTACTACTTCCTAGCTAGTGACTTGGTGAGCTATGTGAAAACCTCTCTCTCCATTAGTTTCCTCATATGTAAAATAGGGATAAAAATAGTACCGACCCCATCAAGTTGTTAGAAAATTGCTTGGCATACAGTGAGTTCTAGATAATATCCAATGAGCTCTATTCGTTTTTTTCTCTAGACAGTTATATTCTTAAAACCAGGGGTGATTATCAAAAAAACCATCAGATTAATCCATCACATTCTCTATTTTTTAAAAAGAACATGTTCATATATTATAAATATTAATTTTGTAATACGAATATTAAGTTGTATGTGCATCTGAGCCTAAAATTAGGTTTTATTATAAAAATGTAAGAATAATTTTTTAAATAGTAAGCAGCTCAAGCCTAGCAAAAATAATGCTGCTGTTGCTACTCAGTGAGAAAACATAGTTGTATATTTAAAAAGCTAAGTGATTGTACAAGTACACCGAGACAGAAAAGTAAACTTAAAATGAGGTTTCTGATAATGAAGATTATTGTTTTTCTCCTCTATAGAGAGACAGAATATTCAAGCAGACAGTGAACAGAGCACAGATGATAACAGAACCCTGACCCCCAGCTAGGCGGCGATCAGCACAGAGATCAGGACGTGGTCAAAAATTGCAGGCTTCCTCGTGTTGTTGTTGTTCCTACTTTCAACTTGGAACCAGACAGAGAAAACCAAACATATTGCTCTAACGAATCACTTAGGATGTCCAGCTTCTAGTTGGAAAAAGAAAACCGCGTTTTTCCTTTATCTCCTAAGTTCGTAGCTGGAGCAGAGTCTGTTGTGGAGGCTGTAAGTCCAAGATCAGGGCTGAGCAGGTATGTTGTCTGGTGAGTCCTTGGTCTCTGCTCTGAAGATACAGCTCCGAAGAGTGGAGGAGCACCAGGGCTCTTGTCTCTTGCAGATTGGATAAAACGGCAAGGACACGCTTGTAGTGGTTTTAAGGAGCAGAGAGTTTAATAACCAAGAAAGAAGAGAGAAGAAAGAAGAAGCTCCCCTGTACAGAGACAGAGGGAGGGGGGCTCCAAAGCCAAGAGAGGAGACTCCTACACTTATTCTTTGACAGAGAAATTCTATGGAGTTTTCTTCTAATAATAATAATTTAATTCCAGAATACGTTCTCTCAACCCTATGCCCTCATACTAATAAACTTGAGGGTTCTTTGAAAGAAAGATTGCTTTAAAGCAAGCAGTTCTCTTTTGTCATTAAGATAAGCTATTTTCTTTTCCTTTCTTTTTGGGAGATGGAGTATCACTCTGTCACCCAGGCTGGAGTGCAGTGGCACGATCTCTGCTTGCCGCAACCTCCACCTCCCAGGTTCAATCAATTCTCGTGTCTCAGCTTCCCAAGTGGGTGGGATTATAGGCATGCACTATCATGCCTGGATAATTTTTGTACTTTTAGTAGAGACGGGGTTTCACCATGTTGGTCAGGCTTGTCTCAAACTCCCGACCTCAGGTGATCCACCCACCTTGGCCTCCCAAAGTGCTGGGTTACAGATATGAGTCACTGTGCTGGCCCTATTTTTATTTTTTAAAACTATTTAAAACAGTATAATTATGTATGTGTTTGTATATGTATTTGGTTTTGTTTTCTTTTGTTTTTATTTTTATTTTTTTGAGACAGAGTCGCCTCTGTTTCCCAGGCTGGAGTGCAGTGGTGTGATCTCAGCTCACTGTAACCTCTGCCCACGTCAGCCTCCTGCTAATTTTTTTTAGTAGAGATGGGGTTTTACCATGTTGCCCAGGGTAGTCTTGAGCTCCTAGGCTAAAGTGATCCGCCCAGCTCAGCCCCCCAAAGTGCATGAGCCAGTGTCCCCAGCTTGATATTTTAACTTTTACTTTACTGAAATCGTTTACTGGAAGCAATGCATGTTGACGCCCACACAAAATTACCGAAGTTCATCAAATTGTCAAGCATTCAGTAATATATACAGCATTATTATTTTTAATCATTTTCATACTTAAAACTCCTTTTCTTTTTCAGGGATATCATGATAACACATTTTGAACCTTCCATCTCCTTTGAGGGCCTTTGCAATGAGGTTCGAGACATGTGTTCTTTTGACAGTGAACAGCTCTTCACCATGAAGTGGATAGATGAGGAAGGTGAGTGGTAAAGAGAGGGCTGCCTATGTAAGCATTTGATTTAAGATCTTATTCTATCATTTGTTCTAAAAAATAAGAGTCCTAATAAATTTAAGGGGAAAGAATATTAGAAATTTGATGCTGTTCTTTTTCTTTAAGTACTTAAAAGAATACTGAAGAGTACAGTCTTTGTTTTGCCTCTTTTTTTTTTGAGATGGAGTTTTGCTCTTGTTACCCAGGCTGGAGTGCAATGGCATGATCTCGGCTCACCGCAGCCTCCACCTCCTGGGTTCAGGCAACTCTCCTGCCTCAATCCCCTGAGTAGCTGGGATTACAGGCACGCACCACCATGCCCAGCTAATGTTTTGTATTTGTAGTAGAGACGGGGTTTCACCATGTTGACCAGGATGGTCTCTATCTCTTGACCTCGTGATCCACCCACCTCAGCCTCCCGAAGTTCTGGGATTACAGGCTTGAGCCACCGCGCCCGGCTATTTTGCCTCTTTTATGCCAAAATGATGTGAAATTAACTTGACTTTTTTAAGCATAAGGTAAGCGTCTCGTCAAATAGTGACATTTTAATTTTGTTTTTTCTTTGAATTAATTTTTTTTTTTTTAAATTTTTAGAGACAGGGTCTTGCTAAGTCCAGGCGGGTCTCCAACTCCTGGCCTCAAGTGACCTTCCCACTGTGATCTCCCAAAGTACTGGGATTACAAACATGAGCCATTGCATTTAGCTTCACTTTATTTTTTAATTTAATTTTTTTTGAGACAGACTCTTGCTCTTGTCACCCAGGCAGGAGTATAGTGACATAATATCTGCTTACTGCAACCGCTGCCTCCCAGGTTCAAGCAATTCTTGTGCCTCAGCCTCCCAAGTAGCTGGTATTCCAGGAGTGCACCACCACACCCAGATAATTTTTGTATTTTTAGTAGAGACAGGGTTTTGCCATGTTGCCCAGGCTGGTCTTGAACTCCTGGCCTCAAGTGATCTGCACACCTAGGCTTCCCAAAGTGCTCGAATTACAGGTGTGGGCCACCACACCCGCCCCCCAACTTCACTTTAATTTTGAATATGTGTTGTCTTATATTTTAATTTAAGAGATTACCTGTTTTTAATCTGAATATTACCTTAAAGAAAATATGGAATGAAAGTGATTTTGACAGTCATTATTTCAAAGTGGTGGCAGAAACCTGATACCCAGTGACTTCTACTCAGAAAACATTTATCAAATATGTAGGCTTGCCGGGCGCGGTGGCTCAAGCCTGTAATCCCAGCACTTTGGGAGGCCGAGGCGGGTGGATCACAAGGTCAAGAGATCAAGACCATCCTGGTCAACATGGTGAAACCCCGTCTCTACTAAAAATACAAAAAATTAGCTGGGCATGGTGGCGCGTGCCTGTAATCCCAGCGACTCAGGAGGCTGAGGCAGGAGAATTGCCTGAACCCAGGAGGCGGAGGTTGCGGTGAGCTGAGATCGCGCCATTGCACTCCAGCCTGGGTAGCATGAGTGAAACTCCGTCTCAAAAAAAAAAAAAAAAATATGTAGGCTTACACCTGTAATCCTAGCACTATAGAGGCCTGAAGTGGGAAGATCGCTTAAGCCAGGAGTTTCAAACCAGCCTGGGCAGCATTGTGAGACCCTGTCTCTATAAAACGTTTTCAAAATTTAGCTGGGTATGGTAGCGTGCACCTGTGGTCCCAGCTACTTGGGAGGCTGAGGTGGGAAGTGCTTGAGCCTGGAAGATGGGCCCTGATTGCACCACTGCACTCCAGCGACAAAGCAAGCAAAGCAAGACTCTGCCTCAAAATAAATAAATAAATAAATAAATAAAAGAAGCAAATATCTTTGTGCTGAGGACAGACATTTTCTGTCCTCAAACCCAGAGTCTGATAGGGTGATGGACAATGTGTGACAAATGTGATAAATTCTGGAACATAAATGCGTAGGGACCTTGAGGAATGCAAAAGAAGACGCATCTGTAATACATCTACAATGTTTGACCTACATGTATACAGAATAAGAGTAAGAGCTTTTGAGGTAGAGGAGATGAGGAGAAAACCATATAGGCTAAAGAAGAATATATAGAAAGGCACAGAAATGTGAAGAACATGATGAGTGAAAAGCAGTAATTCACTGTATCTGAAGTGTGGGGAGTAGTAAGGCATGAACTTGGGCTAGATCCTTGCAACTCAAAGTATGATCTGCTGACCTTATAGAAATGAGGACTTTTACGTCCCATTGCACACTACTGAATTGGTCTACAGTTTCACAGGATCCACAGGTGAGTTGTATGAATACAGAAATTTGTTTGATAAGCATGAGACTAGGTCCCTAAGAGCTTTGCAAATCATGTTAGATTTTATTTTACATGACGGACTATTGTTGATGTCTAGTTAAAAGGTACCTTATAGAAAGGGTGGGAGGGGGTGAGGGATAAAGGCCTGCATATTGGGTACAACGTACACTGCTCAGGTGATGGGTGCACCAAAATCTCAGAATTCACCACTAAAGAACTTATTCATGTAACCAACACCACCTGCTCTCCAAAAACCTGTGGAAATAAATTTTGAAAAAGAAGGTACCCTAGATATACTACTTTTATACAGTTGTTTTCTGTTAATCGTCATAGAAATAGAATATTTATTTTTTTATTTGATGGAGTCTTGCTGTTGCCCAGGGTGAATGGCACAATCTCAACTCACTGCAACCTTTGCTTCTCGGGTTCAAGTGATTCTTCTGCCTTAGCCTCCCGAGTAGCTGGGATTACAGGCATCAGCCCCCACGCCTGGCTAATTTTTATATTTTTAATAGAGACGGGGTTTCACCATGTTGGCCAGGCTGGTCTTGAACTCCTGACCCTGTTATCCACCTACCTGGCTTTCCTAAGTGGTGGGATTATAGTTGTGAGCCACCGCGCCCAGCCTACAAATAGAATTTCATTTTAAGGAATGTCATTATAATATTCAGCTCAATATTTGGGGCCATTTCTATATTCCCTGGTCTAAAGAGTGCTGGAAAGTCATTATTGAGGCTCCAAGCTATAGGTAAATGCAAACACATTCTCATTTTTTAAAACAGTGTTTCTGAAGTAATTCACGTCCACTGTTCAGGAAAAAAAGTAGTGCAGAAATTTATGAAATGTAAAAAGAAGCCTCTTATTTTTCCTTTTTTCTCTCTCCTCCCTCACCAATCCCAGTTGTAAGAGAATAACTTAGTATATAGCCTTCTATAAATTATTTATTAACAGTTTTATTAACATGACAAATGACATACAGCTGATATTTTTTGCAGTCCTGGGGAGCTTGGGGCCCAGTGCCACCCATTTTCACCCTCCATGGCATTCAAAAAAAAATTACATGGGGCTGGGCATGGTGGCTCACGCCTGTAATTCCAGCACTTTGGAGGCTGAGGCGGGTGGATCACAAGGTCAGGAGTTCAAGAACAGCCTGGCCAACATGGTGAAACCCTGTCTCTACTAAAAATACAAAAATTAGCTGGGCTTGGTGGTGCGCACCTGTGATCCCAGCTGCTCGGGAGGCTGAGGCAGGAGAATTGTTTGGACCAGGACCTGGGAAGTGGAGGTTGCAGTGAGCTGAGATCGCACCATTGCACTCCAGCCTGGGCTACAGAGGGAGACTCTGTCTCAAAAAAAGAAAACAAAACAGAAATCATGTTATATATCATAAATATAATTTTTGTCAATTAAAAAAATTAAATTAGCTTTCACACAACTACATTGAATGAGAGGATTTCTTTATTCTTGTGCCCTTACCAACCTTGGATATTATGAATCATTAACATTTTTAAAGATCAGTAAGTGAAATGCCAGCTTGGTATTTTAAATTTTGCATTAAGAGGAAGGTTGAGTATTTTGACCTACTCTATCACAAGGATAGTTTAAATATGGTTACTTATAAATGTCATGAATATCTCACAGTGTGTCTTCAGCCAGAAAATGAGACTATAATTTAGCATTGTGTGCAACTTACGATTAGCATTCAGTAAAATGCTTCTTATCATAAATGAATATTATTCTCATTTTAATAATGTCCTGATCATTTCATACCATTTATTTGCTGATTAGTTTTTTCAATCAATGATTTTCAAACTGCAGCACACATAGGAATCACTGGATAATGCATTTTATTAGAAGTACTTAGTTTAGCAATAGTCCATTAAACATTTTTATAATACCTTTGTATTATCCTTGCCTGGAGAATTCTGTTCCTGGTTTGTCACCTGGCTGTCTCTCATCATTTGGGTTTTAACTCAAATGTCATGTCCTCCAAGAAGGCTTCTTGTCTTCATTCACTTTGTATCTTCTTGTCCTGTTTTTTCTCTTGCGTGTGTGTGTGTTTTCTTTTTTGTGGTTATTTTTGTTGTATGGTAGAATGTAAGCTCCATGAGAGCAGAGATCTTGTCTGTTTCGTTCACATTGGAGCTCCAGTGGCTAGAGCAGTACAAAATAAAAAATAAAAAATATTTGTGGCTGGATGCCGTGGCTCATGCTTGTAATCCCAGCATTTTGGGAGGCCAAGGCAGGAGGATGCTGTGAGTCCAGAAGTTTAAGAACAGTCTGGGCAATGTAGTGAGATAGTGAGGCCCTGTCCCTACAAAAAAAGTTTTTAAAAATTAGCCGGGCATGATGGCACGCACCTATAGTCTCAGCTACTCGAAAAGTAGGTGGGAGGATCCCTTGAGCATGGGCGATCGAGGCTGCAGTGAGCCCTGATTGTGCCACTGCACTCCAACCTAGGTAACAAAGCAAGACCCTGTCTCCAAAAAAAAAGATACATGTGTATAAATATATTTCTGAGTTATATGAAAGGCTAGCATCAAGCCTTTCCCTATTTTAATTTTACTTCAGTTATTGAGGACTTAAGCATTGGCAGTTACTGTTTATTCTTTTTTTTTCTTAAAGTAGCATATTTTAATTAACAGATGCACATAGTAAATTAACTTTCCGATGAAACAGTCCTGTGATAATGTATTTCATACTGCTTTCTCCCTAAGTAG